GTGCTGTGCGACTTCTTGTCCTCCGTGATGGGGGAGATAGGCAAAAGACTATGTGCGAGCATTGAGCGTGCCCTTTCGCTTGCAAGCATGGAACACAAGGTGTAGAACTTTCAGTCCTGTAACATCCATTACTGTCACCCCCAGGTCGTGTTCTCAGCCCATGGATGCGAAAATCCAGGCCCCAAGCCAAAAAAACACAGCACTGCCAAACAAACATGACCAGCCATGATATAGTACTGATAGCAAGACTGTTGATGTAGTATCACAAGAGTTTCATCGCGACAAAGAGCCTGCAGTCAACAACTAGAACTCACTGAGCATAACCGGACAACACCGGGTTTGTTTATATGGTCCTGCTTCAGGGGTTCCAGGTGTCGGAAACAAACAGCACTTATTGATATGGGAGGGATAGACACTGAGACGACGACAGCAGCAGCAGCTGCAGAAGTACGGCCCGGTTGCACTACTCGTCACGAAACGAGTCACTACATTTGCGGTTAACGACATGCAGCAGAACCGGCAATCGCAGGAACCTCAAACCGCAAGCAACGCGTCAACTGTCTCTGAAGATCTGGGTTCCTGCAGCCGTCAAACAGGGTCCTCCTGCTTCACTTCATGCTTGATCTCAGGCTTGACCTTCCAAGTAAAATGGTAGTTGCAAATTGCAAATGATGTAAGTCCACACACCCCGACACGTGCCACCCCAAAGCCTGCTCTGAGGTACCCCAGAAGAGCACAAGCAGATGCACTCATGTTTACTCCGCTGCTCCGCCTAGATAGTCCGGACAACGCTATCCCGAACAAAACGGCGTAGGACTCCTCGCTTGCGCTTAACAAATTATGCCTTGAACACGTCTGCGCTATGCATTCCGTACTCGTCTTGCAGATTCAGCTCCCTCACCACATACACATACGTGCATGCTTACATGACATGCGTGCACATGAAGCCAGCGGGTCTAACATGCAGGGATCTAGGTCTTAGGGGTCCTGCATGACTTCGTGCTTTGGTACTTACACCTCTACACATGGATGTGCTGCATCTTTCCGAGTGGCCTTCGTGCGCATTCTTCGACGAGAGCTAACGACCTGCATGGACCGAAGACCGTAGGAAATCAAGCCTGACAAACCCTCCGCTGACAGTCACCCTTAAACCGAATACAGCAATGGACGTGACCGCCTGTGTAAGGATCCCTCTATACGCCACTTTGTGGGTATATACGTCCCCAAGGCTATGGAAGTAAAACAGAACGGTATTGATCGTTTTGAGCATGTAGAATGTTGTTCCAGGGTAGACTCGTTCCAAGGCTAAGCAACCAATGCCCCCTCCAACCCTCAACTGAAAAAGGATGCAGCAGTGGACTGTTCGGGAACATCGAGGCCTGCAGGTGAGCTACCCCCAACCGGTGGTTTATAGTTTCTGCTATAAGGGTCGTTACAGTACAGTATTTTATGTCCCGATTGTCTTTCGAGCGTAGCTCAGAACTAATGTAGTACTATGGCTCTTGTTGTGAGCTGTAAATGTGTCTGAAACACTTGTCGGATGGACGTTCACCGTGTCTGTTGTTGTATTCATCCCGACTACACTCGCAATCATCATGGTTACAATCTATTAACAGATTAGCTCGAATACGTTCTAGACAACGTAATACTTCTCTGCTGCAAGTTCATTCCTTGTGTCTTCAGTCGCCTCGTTGCTCTCTTCCTTCACTTGCATATCTGAATCTTTCGAAACCTCCTCCTTCGCCTCCTGCTTGAGATCCTGCAAGCACCGAGCTGTCACATGCTGGTTGAAGCTGGAGTGTTGCATTGTGCACGCCGGCCACGTGTCTCCTAGTAAAATCAGGATGCGACTCAGAATCTGCAGAGTCTCGAAGCTCATGGACGTCCGCTCGGAACTGAAACCCCTGGGTCGCACTCAAGTCACGAAACAGCAGCTGCAGCTTGACATCCGAGTGTCCACCCTCGAAGTGCTCAGCCCTGAAAACCTGAAGCCTCAGCGCTGGCCACTCGGTACAATCCACAGCGGCGCAGCTGCCTGCCGCTTCAACTAAAGGAGGCAAGCAGTGAATGTCGCGCTTCAAGCATAGAGATCACACAACAAGAACCACTGTGAAACTAGACTCCAAACAATCTGCCTTGCAGCGCGGCATGTACATCATCGCTACCCAGACGGTTAATTAACCGCCAAGCGAGCATTGTGCGCATCATGGGAGCACAAGCGGCGCCGGTAGGCGAGCATCAAGACCATCATTGGAGGCTGGTTGGCAGGCCCTGCAAGAGGCTTGACATGGAATGGCTACCATTCGAGCAACTGGCTCTCCTAGGTCCTAGAGCATCCATTTTGGCCTTCCCACACCATCATCTTGCAAGCAATGTCGGGTTCTTGTTACGTGCCCCGTCCGTTTCGAACCACTCCCATGCAATGGCTGATCCAGGGTTCTTTAATTTGGTGGTCTACAAGATGAAAGAAACTACACAGAAAGCTTGAAGCCTGTAGCCACACTTGTCAGGTGCTTCTACCAATTCTCGAACAAAAAGCTGGACAACTCAACTGTCGGGACCCCGACATGCGTACAGCCTGACAAGCAGGAAAGGGGAGCCCCCATCGATTGACTACGAATGCAAGACACCTGATGCGCCATCGGCTGCAAGTCGAACAACAAGCATCAAGACTTCTACGGCACTGCACATAAATCTAGCCAATTGGTGCTCGAAGCCTGTACGTGGCCAAGTGCTTGTTTTGTGTGGCTCGTGGCTCCGCAAATCGAACTCCACAGAAGTTGACCGTCTCTGCAGCACGTTCAACCACAGATGTCGTGAGGAAGCCAGGGTACAAGAGCAGGAGACATGGGGCATCCTGGCTGGACACCTGACGATTGCCCTGCTCTCCGACGTCCTCCTGCGATCTCTGGAGCTCCACGCAAGCGGTCCCCTCTTCGAGCTTCTGCCGCTTTTTCATTCCTCCAGCTCTCGGAAGCGATCCCGCATGCAATTACCTTGCAAGTCACCTTGCGCTCCCGCTCCGCTGCCGGTCCTCGCAGCCCCGCCTCGAAGAAAGCAAGGGAGGCACAGCCACTTCCGGAAGGGTCTTGCCATTCTCCAGATTCTTGCCCAGCAACATCAGCAAGGAGTCGGTGTCACAGCTGTGCGTCTTGGGCTGCACCATGCTGCACGATTGACTGGCTGTGGAGGGCAGCTCGAGGCCACCGGCGCGCTCCAGTCCGTCTGCTAGCCGCTGGGCTTGAGGAGCGCCAACGAGGAACATGGAGGGTCAGGGTGCCTGTATCGATCCAGCTCGAAGCGGTGCTGCAGGCGTCTCTAGTAGATGTCAATGTTTGTTACTGTCACCTCCGTCTCTCGCAGAAACGGAATGGCAGTTCGTAGACGGTGGGCGCTGGTTCACAGGCGAGGACACCGCGACAGCTGAGACCGCTCAGCGCGTCGGTCTGGCAGCTGCTGCCTTCTGTGACGAGCTTCAGCCGCCGCTTCTCTCAAACGCATCCCTAGAAAGCAATGATGCAATGATGGCAGCAGGGACAGCAAACTATATCTGAAGACATGGGCTGGCTCCCGCCAAGACTCGAAACACTGAGCCGACTGAAGCCCGATAGGCGGGGGTCCTTCCTGCTTCACTTCATGCTTGATGTCAGCCTTGAACATCCAAGTATAAACTCTGCACGAGGCATCAGAATGCACAAAAGCGGGCGGAGTTGCAGCATGCGACAGCTGCGACATCGGCATTCCGAAAACCAGCAGTGACACAGCAGCACTCCGAACTTCAGCGTGAGCTGTGCGCAGACGCAAACTTCTGGGGCATCTTCCGTTCTGCATGTCCCGCTTCTCGAGCAGACTGCGGCAGGGCCCCCGGAGCAGCCAGCGGAGAGCAGGAAGAGCAGAGCAGACAAAGCCGCCCACCTTCCTAGAGATGGGCGCCTCTTTGCTCAGCGACATCCGCCGCTCGGCGTCTCGCGCGCACGTTGGCGAAGAGGATGGGTCTCTATATATGTGCGGATATCTTCGCCGAATTCCACTCAAAGAGATGCTGCCCCCGGTGGCGGCCAGCAGGCCCAAAGATGCAATCGCCAGGTCGTCTGGGAGAGGCCAGGACCAGGCAGCTTCCGGCAACAAAGCCGAGCAAGATCCGCCCTTGGTGCCCAAGACGTTCCCCGGACAGCGCCAGCTGTGCAAGAGCGAAGCGTGCCGAAGCGTCAAATCCTAATGACACTTCTTTGATCGTGATCCGTCCCGCTGTTGAGTTCCAGATGCTTGCAAAGGACAGGGCAGCAGCAAATGCCAATTTAATCCAATTTAATGGAATGCTGCATTCACCTGCGCTCTCGAACCGCAGCGCACCAAGACTCAGTCCCCTCGAACCCGGAGTCTAAACTGACCAGCACACAGTGGAGCAGAGGCTCACTCTGGATGCTGTAAAAACGGGCAGGATCTCAACGATTTAAGAAGGGCGCATCGAGTGTGCGCACTTTTGCTTCCACACGGCAGCACAACTGTCGATTTTGGGAATGTGCGCATGACCCCTGCTCAGGATGACACGCACGACTAAGGAGTGTGCATGGCCCTTGCGAAGGATGACACGCACAAACCGAGGTGCGTGGGATGCCATGTATTGGCTCAAGCGCGATTGAAAAAGGCATTCGGCCTTTGAGTGTGAGACACTGCATCGTGCGGGAAGTGCGATAATCATTGTGTCCTTTTTGGGAGATTGATGGGTTCGGGTTTGGTTTTGTGTGAGCCTTGGGGCCCATGTACAATCCTCTAGATGACCTACCGCATCAAATTAGACAGAGGCTCGCAGGCTCCCCAACTCCTACACACTACTCCATTGTTACTAATACCCCGAGTCCTGTAAATCCCCAACATCATCAACAGGTGATGAGCCCAAACCCCCTAGATACTCCTCAACCTATGCACGGCATACAGCAGCAGCAGCAGCAGATGCCTCAGCGCGAGACGACGCGACTGACACTGTGATGTTTAGGTCAATGACGCAGATTGCTTTCCCTGCCGACTTGCTTCGACAACTTCAGGAGAACGTGTCTTTTGATCTTGGAGCCATCGAAGATATCCGAGCAGCGATGCAGGAAATCAGCGATCGACTTAACCATCGTACAGGAATCCTAGGCCAAGCTGTGCAATCCTTGGACTCAGGTCACCGTCAGGTCTTTGAAGGGTGCGTTACTGTTGAAAATCAGTTGGAAGAATTCAAGCGGATTTTGAGGGCCCAGCAGACCGTGATTGAGGAGCAAGCCTCGACATGGACCAGGGAGATGGCTGCAATGAGAGATCGTTTGGAAGACAACCAGGCGGTAATCAATCAACAGCTTGTCGTGATAGATCAGGCGAAGCAGCGCGAAGCCCTGCTATTGGCCAAGGTGGAATCCATGGCTGGACGTCTGAATGAGATGGAAACCATGCTGTCCAGTATGAGTGCGAGTGTGAACGAACACAAGGGCCGGCTAAGCATTCATGAAACTTACATTTCAGCAGCTGTAAGTTCGCAGGCTACAGGGTCTCAAGAGGGCGATGCTGGTGCTGCCGAGGGTGATTTGGCAGTCCAAGTTCGCATGTTGGCCGAGAGGGTGGATCAAGAGCTGGCACAGATTGCTCGTGGGGACGCTCACGATGCAGAGGCTGGATCTTTGAAGGACCTGAATGCGGCTGTAGACCAGCTTGACGAACGGGTAACGGCACTGGAGACAAGCATGGAAGAGTGGGAAAATGCGGATTGTGAGGATGATCAACGTCCTTGTGAGTCTGAAGCGCATGTGGGCGGAATGCCCCAGCGATTTGACTTGACACCGAATTTGCAGGACACTCCTACGTGGGGAAATCAAGAGCCTGCAGATGAACAGGAACCAGATGCTACCGCTATGTGGTGGCAGCAACCTTTCGAGTTTTCATCAACAGAGCATAGTGCGAATGTATCCATTGGAAGGCCAACGCAGAATGTCTGGGGAATTAGTGATCCTCCTGGTTTGCCAGCGTACCTCCGAGCTCCAAATGTGGTCGCAGACAACGCTGCGGATCCTGGGCAGGGGAATGTGACTGGTGAGATCCCAAATGGAAGGTGGAAAACATTGAATGATCTGCCGAGCTATCAGCCGGTGGTAGGTCAACCCTGGGAGACTGCAATGGCCTATGTCACTTGGAAAAGGCAATTTCTAGCGGTAAGCGCGACTGTTGCCGACTCTTTCAAGCAGTACGTGGAGACCCAGTTCATTGCGGCCCATGCGCGGCATGAGGCGAGGATGGCTGGCGGTACACGGCAGCCTTTCCCAGCCGTTCCACATCAGATGCGAGATTTTGAATCCAGGCTGGTAGTGGCTTTGTTGCGGGTCCTCCCACAGGAGATGAAGTCCGCAGCCATGGAGTCAGATGAGAATCAAATCTCTTCATTGGCCCTCCTTGAAGAACTTATCACGATCGTACAACCTGGTGGCCGAGAGGAGGTCTCGAGCCTTTTGACTTATGTCAGGAATCTTCAGCCGGTGAGCACAGCTCGAGAAGCGTTGGAGGTTTTGCGACGATGGAAGATGGCTCGGACCCGTGCAGCTGCTTTGGGGTTACCGGCTACAGCGCCGAGTGAGGCCCTGAAATCGCTGGCATCATTGACGCGTGTCCTGGAACGTAAGCAAGATGCTTTGAAGACCCGTCTTGGCATTTTGCGTTTGGCGCCGCAGATCCAATTCCCGACGGAGGCGGGAGTCAACATGATGTTGGACACTTTGGAGCACGAACTCCGGCAAACAGCAGCTGACGAACACACCAAGCAGAACAAGCAGGAGGGAGGCCCAAGTGAGAGCTACGCAAACAAAGGCAAAGGCAAGGAGAAAGGAAAGGATAAGGGTAAGGGCAAGGGAAAGGAAGCAAAAGGGAAGCACGGAAAAACCAACGTGCAACCCGGGTCCAGCTCCCATGCTCAAGATCGTAAGTCTGGAAATCCTGATCCTGCAGATGCCAATAAGACCCCGAAGAAGATTGACAAGCCATGCAGATTCTTTTTCGGTCCGAAAGGATGTTATCGGAAGCAGTGCAATTACAGCCATGATGAAAAGTATCGAGCGGAGGCAAGTCGTGCTGCTAAGGCAGACACAGAGGTGCCAGGTTTGCTGGGTACAGACTCGGCAGCAGCTGCTGCGAAGGGAAAGGCCAAGGCGAAAGCTAAGGCATCGGCAGTCGCATCAGCATTCATGGCACGTAGGCTTCGTGAGGACTCAGAGGCTGACGGATCGCAGGAGGAGTCTGAGGCTTTGTCATTGGAATCATTGTCATCTTCAGCATCGACACCATCCCCTGAGTCAACCATTCAGGACGAGGGTTCAGAAAGTGAGTTGGATCCTCTGGTGGATGATCTAGCCCAAGCGGTTCGTGAGGCTCGTGAGGAGCGTCTGGAGAGACTACCGTTGTGGAGAGTGCACTTAGATCCTGGTGAGTTTGTGCGGTGGACAAGTGGCCACGTGCAGACTGGGGCACGACGGGATTTCGTCGGAGTCACGAACCCTTTCGATGTAGCGGTCGGTGTATCTTATTTCTTGAATCGTGTAGAGACGCTTCCAGCTTATGATCTCGAGATTGGAGAAACGCAAATGATTGCGGAGGCACATGCTGTGATGATCATGTGTAGCGATGGTATTGTGCGACCGGGATTTGTTGCTTGGCTTTTGGATTTAGAGGACGGTAATGAGCTGTACATTGGAATGGTTGAGTCCGGGTTTAGACCAGGATTTCCGATGCCACCAGTGGTGAAGTCAGAAGCTGCACCTCCAAAATCAAGTCCAAAGGCCTCACTAGTGAAAAGACCCCCAGTAGTGCCGACAATCATCGCATCACCTCCTGTGAAGGCATCCGGTGATTCAGCACAGTCATCAACTGCGTGTCCAAAGCCATGTCCATGGGGTCAGAGTAGAGCAGGTGAGCCGAGCAGTAAACAGCCTACCGTAAGAGCCCCACCTCAGGTTGCACCAGTGCCAGCCGCTCCGCCTCCAAAAGCTAAAGCTGTGAGGAAGAGTCCCCCGGTGGTTCCCAAGGGTGGATACGGCCAGGCTAATAAGGCAACGCCCGGCCTGCATGCAGATCACGATTTCGTCCTGGTAGACTCCGGAGCGAACGAAGTGTTGCGACCAGGCGAGCCCCCGCGGAGGGGGTGTGAAACATCATTGCAATTGGCCGATGGCATGAGAATCAAAGCGTTTAGAAGCCGGGAAGGGGAGTTGGTGATTCCTGGCGCCACATGGATCTGTGGTCTGAGTCGTTTGGTCTCGTTAGGATACAAGTTCGTGTGGAGCCGAGCCCGAGGTCCCTACCTTCAGACCGATGATGATTTCCCGGGTGAGATTAGAACCATCAATCTAATCGTCATGAACGGTTTGCCTTATGTCCGGTGGGAGGACTTCGTTGAGGTTCGAAGATACTTGACTCAGCAGTACAAGCAGTGCAATCGCAAGGTTTGCAGTGTGACGGTTCCCATGTGTCCCGAAGCCTCAAGCATTCTTGACATTGAAGAAGTCATGGCGCATGTGGCAGATGATCTAGAGTGCTGTGAAGCAAGCTTGGTTGCTGTGGAGCCAGCAACAGACCATGACGAATCAAAAGAGAGCCAGTTTGATGCGGTCTTGGATGAGCTTCATAGGGCTAAGTTGCGCGTAAAGGGCAGTCACAGGCCAAACGTTACGAAGCCAGAATCCCAAGGTCATGCATGGGCTTTTGGTTTGTTTGGCCGAGGTGGAATGTGTGGAACCACGCGCCTTACAAAGCAGCATGTGCAGCCTGTGCAGAGAGTGAATCGCTTGATTAGGACTGTTCACCCTGAGGCTAGATACACTTCATTCATGATCATGGAAAACACTGCTTTTCGGCCTCACAAAGACAGTCGAAACATGCCTGGCTCACAGAATTATGTGTTAGGTCTCACGGCATACGATGGCGGAGAGGTTTGGGTAGCTGATCCAAAACTTGAGCGGTCCAAGGCAGTGTGGCGAAAGACGCATGATGACAAGCCTCCTGCGAAGGGTCGTTTGTTGAGCACAAGCCGTACGATTGCTGAGTTCGACCCGTTTCAAATGCATGGCACAGAGCCTTTCCGAGGGCACAGAATTGTGGTGACGGCGTTCACGCCGGCAGCTGGACAGCAGACCTCAGAGCGCATGCGTGCTCATTTGGAGGGTTTAGGCTTTCCAATCCATGATAGACACGACGACGACGGAACACGACGTGTAGAGATCAACACGGTTCTGCAGCAGCAGCATCAACAACAACAACAGCAGGGTAGCACATGCGCGCCAGCAGAAGGCGCGCCGGAGCCGCTGGAGAATGCCTTGGGAGTTCAGGGTGTTCAGGGAGTTCAGGGAAGCTTAGGCGATGACCAGGGTGTTCAGGATTGCTTTCAGGGTTTACCTTATTTCGGTGAAGTCGTAGAAGTGAGCGATGGAGAGCTGTCAGAAGACTTGTTTCCTGAGCTCGTGCACTCAACGAAGCAAAGAGCCGATGAGCAGCGACCTGATTGCGAAGATAATTTGGATGTGTATGAGCCTTCACTTCCTGAGGAGGAGAAGCCTGTTGACCAAGGTCCAGAGTCTTTGCCACCTGATGCGATTCCTAAGCCGAAGCCTGGAAGGACAATAGATGATTTGAGAACTCGAGGACTCCGACGACCACACCTTCGTTTGAGTGCAGAGCAGGTTGCAACGGGAGTGATGTCCATTGATCTTGCTGGTCCTTACCGTGAGGGCTATGATGGCGCAAGATACATGTTGGTTGCAGTGCTTCGTCTAGCTGATGGATGCAACTTGCAGTATACAAGGCCTCTCCGACACCGACATTGGCAGCTAGTGTACGAGCAGCTTCAAAGTATTCTTTCACAGATTGCAGCTACAAGTGGCGGCAAGCCAGAGGTAGTGAGAATACACTCAGATCGAGCGCGAGAGTTTATTGCAAAGCAGCTGGTGGAAGGCATCAACAAAATGGGCGTGTTCAAAACAACAACCTGCGGGTATGACCCTCAAGCAAACGGCTTAGCAGAAAGGTGCATTGGCATGCTCAAGGAGAAGGCCAGAGGTTTTCTGATCAAAGGACGGCTTCATGTGGCATATTGGCCGTTGATGATGCACGAAGCTGCGCGTAGGCATCGTGATGGAGTGCTGGGAGTCAGGACTCAAGGCCAACGTCCTGATCCAGGTCAGAAGGTGGCCATTCGGGTCATTAATCCTGGACCGTTTGATCCGAGAGCTGAGCCTGCAACTTTCTTGGCGCAGTGCGATGATGTATCACGCGGTGCATTAGTGCTGGTTGAAAGGAACGGGCAACAGAAAGTCGTGACAGCAAGGCTTCCAACAACTCTGGACACACAGAGCGCAACTTGGAGAACACATACCACACCGCTGGGTGATCTTGTTTGGATCTCTTCGAAGGGCGACGTGCGAGACGGTGAGTACATCAGAGATTTAGGTCACGATCTTGGTTTGCTAACCGTCGAGGAGCGCGAATACGGCCCTGAAGAGGCGAAGGAAGCAGATTTCTTCCAGGCGGCGAAGTGTGAAGCAGCATGCAACAAGGCTGTGGAGAGTTCAGCTAAGGATGCTGAGGTCACCAAGTCCAGGGATAAGAATCTTGAGTGGCTTGAGGGAAAGACCTGCACCGTTTGTGGGAAATCTTCCAAGGCATGCTATCTTGAGAAGCTGGATAAGGTGACGCCAGAGCCATGTGGATATCAGGTTCCTGGATTTGATGAAGAAGCAGAGATGGTTGAGCAAGAGCGTCTAGCCCAGGAGCTCAAGAGCTTTAAGGCAAGCGCGGAACCATGTGGAAACGATGTTTTCTTCGGCCCACGTCGCGAGGATTGGATTGGAGCGGCACGTAAGGAGCTCGACAACATGACGGTGCATCAGAAGGTTTGGATTGAGGTTCGAAAGGGCCATATCCATGAGGATTTGGGTCTAGACAGAAGCGTGAAGCTTCCTAAGGCCCTACCGATGCAACTTGTCAACACCTTGAAGCCTTTGAATGAAAGCTCTGGACCAATCGACGAGCCGAAAGTGAGGATCGTAGCATGCGGAAATTTCCAACATGATTCCCAGGACAAAGAGGACTTGAGCACGCAGAATGTGGACATGTCTGTCTTGAGGACCATGGCTAAGGAAACTGCTCTAAGGCCATCGTGGATCATGGGAGCAGGTGACATCAGCGCAGCATTTTTAAACACCTTCTTGGGTGGTAAAGACTTGGTCATTCTTGAGCCGCCGGCAGTCCTTAAACGACTGGGTTTGATTGCGGAAGATGTTCAGTACGTCCCAATCAGAGCAATCTACGGGTTGCGACGGTCCCCTTTGGACTGGAGCCGGGATCGAGACGGCAAGATTTCCGGTAAGGTTTTGACCGATGATCAAGGAAGGCAGATCCACTGCGTGCCTATCGCGCACCAGGACGGTCTGTGGAAGCTGCTATGTGGTGACACTCTAGTGGGATTAGTAGCCATGTATGTAGATGATTGCTTGGTAACGGGCGAACGATCTGCAGTGGAAGCGTTCTTGCAGTTTGTGAGCGCAGAGTGGCGAACGAAAATCCAGGGTTTCATCGCGAGACAAACGGACGTGCAAGTGAAATGCAACGATGAACAAGTGGCACAGAAGCAAGCGCTGAACTTCTTGGGAGTAGAAATTTCCTTCGAGGGGGATAAGATCGTTATCCAGCAGCGCCGCTGGATTCTTCAAGAGCTGAATCGCAGAGGCTGGGTTCATATGAAGGGTTCGCAGTCACTTCCTCAGCTGGAGATGGCCGAGGATGAAGCACTTGACGAGCATCATGCCAAGAATCTGGCCAATGCACGGTCAGAAATTGGAGCTCTGATGTGGATTGGAATTCGGAGTAGACCCGATGTCCTTGCTGCTGTGTCAATGGGAGCGAGTGTTATGCATCGCCGACCAGAGGCGATCTGTAAGTTCTGTGTGGGTTTGTGGCGCTATGTGCGAGGGACCCTTGATGAGTGCTTGCAGTATGGACCGGATGGGAATCCGGGTGAGATGACTTTCATTTCAGATGCATCGTTCGCCCCTGAGGGCTCTCGAAGCCGGACAGGTGGCGTGTTGTGTTATGCAGGCAGTGTGATACATTGGTTCTCCTGTCGACAGACAGTCACTGCTTGGTCAGTTTGTGAAGCAGAAACGGATGCACTGGCTGAGACCTTGTCCCAGGGGATTCGTCTTACGTATGTGCTGCAGGATCTTCTTCATAAGCCTGTGACGAGGACGCTGACAGGAGATAACAGTGCTTCAATCATTCTTGCAACTCAGGATCGCATGCGTTTTGGCAAGTGGAGGACTAGAGCTTTCGCTTTGAGGTGCAGCTGGATGCGCGATCAGATCCATCTTGAAGATGTGCAGGTGTTGCACACTCCAGGAGAACATCTCATTGCAGACATGCTCACGAAGATACTTCCAAAAACACGCCTCATGCAGTTGAGACATCGTGTGGGCGTTGCGTCCATGCCAAAGATCACAGGATAAGCCAGCCGAGTGCTGGACATGAGTTTTGATTTTGCTTTCTGGAGTGGGGCCGAAGGAATAGTCCAGCCCGCTCAGATCTCCAGTTGCAGGGTCATGCTGCGGGGTCGCGACTTTTGTAGATTCTCTTCGCAAGTCGAGGAGGAGTGTGCGCATGACCCCTGCTCAGGATGACACGCACGACTAAGGAGTGTGCATGGCCCTTGCGAAGGATGACACGCACAAACCGAGGTGCGTGGGATGCCATGTATTGGCTCAAGCGCGATTGAAAAAGGCATTCGGCCTTTGAGTGTGAGACACTGCATCGTGCGGGAAGTGCGATAATCATTGTGTCCTTTTTGGGAGATTGATGGGTTCGGGTTTGGTTTTGTGTGAGCCTTGGGGCCCATGTACAATCCTCTAGATGACCTACCGCATCAAATTAGACAGAGGCTCGCAGGCTCCCCAACTCCTACACACTACTCCATTGTTACTAATACCCCGAGTCCTGTAAATCCCCAACATCATCAACAGGGAACAAGGCTACTGCTTGACCACTTCTGCGAAGCTCTGCACTTTGCACACTCCCTTGGAGCTCCACGTCCTTTGCAGGAGGCGCTGGCGCTCGGAGCTGTCCTCCTCGAGCCTCTAGCCGCTCTAGCCGCTCCGCTTGGACGACATCAGGTGCACAAAGCTCTCCCTGCGGCCTCCGCGCAAGCTAGGCCTCGGCGCGAGGCCCACAAATCCACCACCTCGCACTGCTGGCTCTGGGCCACTTCGCGAGCTCTCGGCGATCGCGGATGCCGCTCTGCTAAACAATGTTTCCTCGCAGATGCCCCGCCTCGGAGAAGTGCCAGCGGAACAGCGGAGGCCGGCGGGCTTTGAGAATGCGTATACTGTGCTGGGGCTGAAAGAGCATCGAAACTTCCCGCTGAAATGATGTGATGCAGGCCACCTCAAACACACACTCCTCGCACACTTCAGCAGGCACGCCTGACTTTGCAAAATTTGCAGGTGAGCAAGCAGCCGTCACCTTGATGAAGGCTGCACATGAGCCATCAGGAGCAGAAAGCGCCCTGCTCGCCAGAGTGGCGCGGCGAGAAATGATCTGCAAGCATCTGCCACACCCGGCCGCATGCGCGGATTCCCTGGACGTGCTCGCCGAGCCTCCAGCTCACGTTCGAATCGCGACCCCGGCAGCCCCGGCAGCTGAAGCATCACAGGAGCAACTCTCGCCGGTAGCAAACGGGCTCTGACAAATGCCTCCCGGGCTGGTATGGCAGGGGCACCACTGAGGGACATCTTTGTGGAATCATGGCGCGCCATCCCTGAAACACGGCGCCCTTCAACCACTTTGAAGCAGCAAAAGCAAGTTCACTGACTGACGCTCGTCACCAGCAACAGCTCTATACCACACCATTCCACACAAGCGCCCCGGCAGGGCATGCTGCATGCTTCGAGTCGGCACCCACCCAAGGCGGGAGAAGACTTCCAACGACCGTGCTCGGCTGACTCGCATTCGTAGGCTGCCGTTGGCGAGTGCCAGTGTGCAGGCGGATGGTCTGCAGAGCGATAAAGCCCCGACATGCGCTCGCAAAAAGCGGACGAGCTTGTGGTGCGGGTTGCAGGCAGCACGCGTAGCCAATGCAGGCCTGAGAGCAAAGAGCGGGAAGAGGCAGAGAGGCCAGTGCATCACAGCGCAAAGAGCGGGGGAACAGGCGGAGTCGAAGCTTCAAGCAAATGCAAAACAGGTCGACCTGCTTGACGTCTAGCACGATGCTTCACGTACGAGCCTCGGGCTCCTGGGCACGAAACCCTCCCTTCCGAGCCTCGGGAACGGCGCCGGGTGGCCGCCCTGTTCGAACAGATCTTCCAGCTCCCGTCAAAGGCGCGCTTCGAAGGAAGCTCGGAGCTCAAAACACTCTCGGGCTTTCGGGTCCTTCAGCTGCTTGGAGCGTGCCAGCCCGGCCAGCAGCGCCTTGCATCCCTCTACATATCACTTGTCCCTCTTTTGGAAACTGAAGCAGCTGGGATTCGGGTTTAGGGTTCAGGGTTTAGGGGTTTAGGACACACGCTCACGGATTGATATAGATTGATTGAGACTGAGAAGAACCTGTAGTTTGCACCTTAGCGCTTTGCAGCAAGGGGCTTTGGAGGAGCACGTCTGCGAGCCTGCGCGCTGATTGCACTACCAGCTGGAAGCGAATGGTGGCAGAGCTCTGAAACCTCAGCTCTATTCGAGCTCCATCACCTGTACCCCCAAAAAGCATCGAATCTGGCATCCGCTTCCACAACATGGACGGCATATATCAACAGTGCTGCATTTTCCCACGCCATGCCCGTACATTGACATAGAACCTTGGCCAGGGATATGCACCACACACCACAGAACTGCACACATCCTTAAATCGCTGGGTCACGCGCATGATTGCGCAACGCTTCTCCAAGCTGCTGTCGCCAGCGTGAGGGACGTCCCCCTGCAAAGGAATTCTGATAGCTGGTCTCACAGAGCGTTGCGGCAGGCGCTCGCTGCAAGTCGAGATGGTTCCGCATGGGGTCCATGGCAGAGGCCTCAGCGAATGGGGCGCAGACCGAGCGCAGAACTGCGACAGAGAGAGCGTATACGTCTCGCGGGCGGAGCTCAGCTGGGCTCAGCGAAGCTCGGAGCTCAAAACACTCTCGGGCTTTCGGGTCCTTCAGCTGCTTGGAGCGTGCCAGCCCGGCCAGCAGCGCCTTGCATCCCTCTACATATCACTTGTCCCTCTTTTGGAAACTGAAGCAGCTGGGATTCGGGTTTAGGGTTCAGGGTTTAGGGGTTTAGGACACACGCTCACGGATTGATATAGATTGATTGAGACTGAGAAGAACCTGTAGTTTGCACCTTAGCGCTTTGCAGCAAGGGGCTTTGGAGGAGCACGTCTGCGAGCCTGCGCGCTGATTGCACTACCAGCTGGAAGCGAATGGTGGCAGAGCTCTGAAACCTCAGCTCTATTCGAGCTCCATCACCTGTACCCCCAAAAAGCATCGAATCTGGCATCCGCTTCCACAACATGGACGGCATATATCAACAGTGCTGCATTTTCCCACGCCATGCCCGTACATTGACATAGAACCTTGGCCAGGGATATGCACCACACACCACAGAACTGCACACATCCTTAAATCGCTGGGTCACGCGCATGATTGCGCAACGCTTCTCCAAGCTGCTGTCGCCAGCGTGAGGGACGTCCCCCTGCAAAGGAATTCTGATAGCTGGTCTCACAGAGCGTTGCGGCAGGCGCTCGCTGCAAGTCGAGATGGTTCCGCATGGGGTCCATGGCAGAGGCCTCAGCGAATGGGGCGCAGACCGAGCGCAGAACTGCGACAGAGAGAGCGTATACGTCTCGCGGGCGGAGCTCAGCTGGGCTCAGCTGCACTGCAAACCGCCGCAGCCGAACCCCAGGAGGCGAAGTGGTGAACCGAACCAGCGCGGCGGTGCGGGCCGTGCCTCCAAGTCCTCTCTCTCTCACGGCTCAGCTCAGGTGGCGAAATCCTCTTTGGCCTGAGGGGCCAGCACCTGACATAAGATGCGTCACTTCCGTCTCTCGCAATGGCAGTTCGTAGACGGCGGGCGCTGGTTCACAGGCTCCCGCTTCTTGAAGGCCTCCGCCCCCACACTGCCCCGAGCGCGCATCTTCCGCGAGCAAAGCGCGGAGCTGAAGAACAGCAGAGCCGAAGAGACTGCGCCATATAGGCATATAGGTAACCTCAATCATGCAGTAAAGACTTGCACCTGCCAGAGTCTGGGCATATTGACTATAATCAGCACAAGATATCTTACTTTAAACACTGTCATCCGATACACATTTGCAGGGCTTTTGACTTGCGCAAGCAGGTCACTGCCCACGGCGGTGCCGGCTGTCAGGGCCGTGGCAACCTGCTGCCTCAGTTGCTTGCGAGGGCGGTTGTCAGAATCTCAATCATGACTCCTCTGCATGGATACGTCACCGCCGAGCTGCGATGCTGCTCAGACCAGTTTGCTGTTCGCTTCATCTGTACACATAGGCTCGCCGCCTATAGCCACCTGCAAAAATGCCTGGTGCCCCGAATCGCCACGGATTCCACAATCAGTAACAACAGTCCTCAAGCGAAGCACTCTTTGCAGAGCCGTGTGCATGCAAGCAACGTCAAACATGAGTGATGAGTGGCATCAAAATGCATCAAAGATACTTTCGAAATGAAGGCCAAAGACATAACTTACCTTTTTCCCGGGCCCGCCCCCCCAGCTCAAACTCCGAGACAATCCCTGCGGACAGTCCCCAGCTCCCGATCCTCGGGAAGGGGTGCATCCCAGCGGGTGGCCGCCCCGTCCTCCTCCAGAAGCGTTTCGGGCATCCACGGATGCGCCCGTGCTCGTCGCGGAGCTGCGAAGCTCGTGCGGCTGTCGGTGGAAAACTCTGCATCAGAATGCACTTTAAGGCAGGCGGAGTTGCAGCCTGCGACAGCTGCATTCCGCAGCTGCATTCCGCAGACGAGCACACACAGCAGCACTCCGAACTTCAGCGTGAGCTGTGCGCAGACTTCTTGGGGGCATGGGCCCTTCTGCATGTCCCGGTTTTTTGAAGGCCTCCGTGCACTGGAAAGCCTCCCGCGAGCAGAGCGTGACAGCAGAGCGTGACGGCAGGGCCCGCAGCGGAGAGCGGGAAGAAGAGCAGAGCAGATGAGAAGCCCAGGAAGAGCAGAGCTCCGTAGCAGCGGAGCTGGGCTTTGGCGCTCAGCGACTGCGCCAAGTTCCACACGCCCAGCCGGGCGTCTCCGCCTCTGCGTCTCGCTCCCAGGTGATCATCTGCACCACTATGGCCACTATGGTCATCCACACAAGGTGTCCGCCAAGTTCGAGACGACAAAGCAGGCAAGGGAAGCTCAAGCAGTCAGACTGAAAGCGCCCCAGTTTGTGGCTGGGGCTTGCGCGAAAAGCGAAGTCACATCCCAGGATGCAGTACGGCATGCATGCAATTGGAAATGGAATGCTGCATTCAAGACTTAGTCCCCTCGAACGCGGAGTCCAAATTGACCAGCACACAGTGGAGCAGAGGCTCACTCTGGAGCTGTGCAACTGAACTAAAAACGGGCAGGATCTCAACGATGTAAGAATCGGCGCATCGAATGTGCGCACTTTTGCTTCCACACGGTGGTAGGACACCTGTCGATGTTGGGAACCAGGCTACTGTTTGACCGCTTCTGCGGCAGAACCACTGCAACGCCTGTGATCAAAGCCCTGGACTTTGCACGCTCCCTTGGAGCTCCACGTCCTTTGCAGGAGGCGCTGGGGCTCGGAGCCTCCTCGAGCCTCTAGCCACGTCAGCAGGTGCACAAAGCTCTCCCTGCGGTCTCCGCGCAAGCTAGGCCTCGGCGCGAGGCCCACAAATCCACCAGCCGCCCGCTCTCCTCGCACTGCTCCTCGCACCTGGCACCTCCATCGGAGCTCCGCAGCCTTGCCTCCTGTGCTGGCTCAGCGCCGCCGAGCCGTTGCCAGCTCGATCCTGGCAAAAAGCGCGGGCGCTTGGCAGTACCAGGCCCACAAGGCTGCCGTCCGCTTCGGCGCGGATCTCCTCGCAGTCCCACCTGGTGTTTCGCTCGGAAGCTTCTTCCGCTTCCGCGCCATGGCTTCACGACGTCCCGTCTCACCAGGAACTAAGAGGACGCAATGGCTGAACCCAGCTGATGGGCGACGGGATCTGACTGCGACCGGGGAATTCCGCCGCATCACTCCGGTTCACGGATGCGCTGCTTCTGTATGCCCTTCCGCTCCGAGCAGACCTGCATCTGGCCCTGTTTTGGCAAGTTGCCGTTGGAACGCTGCTCGCACCGGTTCTGATGCCCGGCCTTCGCGACCAGCTCTGCACTTTCTCGTTGGGACGCTTGCGCTTTAGGAAGCTCCTGTCGCTTCTCCGACATGGCGGACTCTGCACAGCTACTGCACGGCTCGCAAGCGCTTCCCAGCGCATCCTTGCTGGACGCCTGCCTGCATGCCACAGCCAGGCGATTGTGCAGCTCTCCGCGTTCCTGCTGCGATCTCTGGAGATTCGCTTCAAGACGGTGCGAGCTTCGCTTCCCAGCGCCGCCTCCTGACTTTGCGCCACTTCGCGAGCTCTCGGCGGCCTCTTGGCTCCTGCAGGAAGACAATGCACGCCACTTCGCGCTCCCGCTCTGCTGAACAATGCTTCCTCGCAGATGCCCCGCCTCGGAGAAGCGCCAGCAGAACAGCGGAGGTCGGCGGGCTTTGAGAATGCGTAAACTGCGCTGTGGCTGAAGGAGCATCGAACAACTTCCCGCCGAAATAACGTGATGCAGGCCGCCTCATACACACCCCCTTCGCACACTTCAGCAGGCTCCCAAAAGCCGAGGCGTGCGGAGAAGTCCGAGTTCGGCTCTACGAGTCGTCGCATATAACGATATGAATGTCCAATTAATTGTTAAGGCACTCTCGGCGTCGTTATAGAAGAGGCGACACGTCGGTGCAGCAGACGGGTCTCTGACAAAAAAGAGCCTTGGAACCCGCCTCCTCTGCTGATAGAACCGAAGCCTCCTCAAGAAAGGATGCCTTTCTAAAACGCCGCCCTCGAGGCGCGCAGAGAAATCCGCCTTCCGGAGCTGCTCCCAGCCCAGCGGGCGAGCCCAAACTCAGAAAACTCAAAGCAGAAGAAGCAAATCTCAAGTCGGCTTCGCTGGGGGCCCAACCGCTGCAATCACGGAGATGTCGGAGCTGGCACCGGTGAAGGAAGCCTCAGAAGCTTCGCGAAGTCCGTCCCGGAGTGGCCGAAAGTCCGTGCATAGAGGGGTTAGCGCTTCTGGCGATACATGTACGAATACTGAACGAGACATAGATGTCCCGTACACGACATAAGAAAAATTATATCGGTGAGTGAGCTTAATGACGGAATCGAAAAAATATGGAGTACACTGCCCTGCACATTTGTGGCTCAACATATCCATGCATTGTACGTGGAGCTTCTTTTCCGTTCACTGTAACACTGTACACTGCACTTATATGGAGAAGTACAGGGTGTCGGGTGTAGGCTTTGCAGGGGAACAAGTAGTCAGAACAGAGGCAGCTGTTTCCCATACACGGTATAAGAAGGCAAACGGAATCGAAACCCGGGGAGAGCATTATCGCTGGCATATTGCCACACATTCTTCTTTGGGGGGTAAGCTCTCTCGTGCACTCCACTGCTTCAAGAGAGCGGTCTTAGGCTTTCGCAGAGACCTGGGTCTTGAAGTTGTCGGCGATGACCCGAAAGACGAGAGCCACGTCCGCTGCGGAAGGCCTCCAGTGGCGAGCTCACGAGGATCGGCTCTGCAGCAGGTTCGCAAACCGGTGGATTGAAGCGCACGCGTCCCTTCCGCATGAGCTCCGCTCTGCTCCAAGGAGGGCTACTGCTAGGCGCCCGGGCACGTAGTTGAAGGTCTGCAGCGCGGAAGTGGTCGAACCTACCTGCAGCACCGGACGGAGCTTCGCTCTGAGCTACGGAGATGTCGGAGCTGGCACCGGTGAAGGAAGCCTCAGAAGCTTCGCGAAGTCCGTCCCGGAGTGGCCGAAAGTCCGTGCATAGAGGGTTTAGCGCTTCTGGCGATACATGTACGAATACTGAACGAGACATAGATGTCCCGTACACGACATAAGAAAAATTATATCGGTGAGTGAGCTTAATGACGGAATCGAAAACATATGGAGTACACTGCCCTGCACATTTGTGGCTCAACATATCCATGCATTGTACGTGGAGCTTCTTTTCCGTTCACTGTAACACTGTACACTGCACTTATATTGAGAAGTACAGGGTGTCGGGTGTAGGCTTTGCAGGGGAACAAGTAGTCAGAACAGAGGCAGCTGTTTCCCATACACGGTGTAAGAAGGCAAACGGAATCGAAACTCGGGGAGAGCATGATCGCTGGCATATTGCCACACATTCTTCTTTGGGGGGTAAGCTCTCTCGTGCACTCCACTGCTTCAAGAGAGCGGTCTTAGGCTTTCGCAGAGACCTGGGTCTTGAAGTTGTCGGCGATGACCCGGAAGACGAGAGCCACGTCCGCTGCGGAAGGCCTCCAGTGGCGAGCTCACCAGGATCGGCTCTGCAGCAGGTTTGCAAACCTTAAGATTGAAGCAGGTCCCTTCCGCATGAGCTCCTTTGCTCCAAGGAGGGCTACTGCTAGGCGCCCGGGCACGTAGTTGAAGGTCTGCAGCGCGGAAGTGGTCGAACCTACCTGCAGCACCGGACGGAGCTTCGCTCTGAGCTACGGAGATGTCGGAGCTGGCACCGGTGAAGGAAGCCTCAGAAGCTTCGCGAAGTCCGTCCCGGAGTGGCCGAAAGTCCGTGCATAGAGGGTTTAGCGCTTCTGGCGATACATGTACGAATACTGAACGAGACATAGATGTCCCGTACACGACATAAGAAAAATTATATCGGTGAGTGAGCTTAATGACGGAATCGAAAACATATGGAGTACACTGCCCTGCAGATTTGTGGCTCAACATATCCATGCATTGTACGTGGAGCTTCTTTTCCGTTCACTGTAACACTGTACACTGCACTTATATTGAGAAGTACAGGGTGTCGGGTGTAGGCTTTGCAGGGGAACAAGTAGTCAGAACAGAGGCAGCTGTTTCCCATACACGGTGTAAGAAGGCAAACGGAATCGAAACTCGGGGAGAGCATGATCGCTGGCATATTGCCACACATTCTTCTTTGGGGGTAAGCTCTCTCGTGCACTCCACTGCTTCAAGAGAGCGGTCTTAGGCTTTCGCAGAGACCTGGGTCTTGAAGTTGTCGGCGATGACCCGGAAGACGAGAGCCACGTCCGCTGCGGAAGACCTCCAGTGGCGAGCTCACGAGGATCGGCTCTGCAGCAGGTTTGCAAACCTTAAGATTGAAGCAGGTCCCTTCCATGAGCTCCTTTGCTCCAAGGAGGGCTACTGCTAGGCGCCCGGGCACGTAGTTGAAGGTCTTGCAGCGCGGAAGTGGTCGAACCTACCTGCAGCACCGGACGGAGCTTCGCTCTGAGCTACGGAGATGTCGGAGCTGGCACCGGTGAAGGAAGCCTCAGAAGCTTCGCGAAGTCCGTCCCGGAGTGGCCGAAAGTCCGTGCATAGAGGGTTTAGCGCTTCTGGCGATACATGTACGAATACTGAACGAGACATAGATGTCCCGTACACGACATAAGAAAAATTATATCGGTGAGTGAGCTTAATGACGGAATCGAAAACATATGGAGTACACTGCCCTGCACATTTGTGGCTCAACATATCCATGCATTGTACGTGGAGCTTCTTTTCCGTTCACTGTAACACTGTACACTGCACTTATATTGAGAAGTACAGGGTGTCGGGTGTAGGCTTTGCAGGGGAACAAGTAGTCAGAACAGAGGCAGCTGTTTCCCATACACGGTGTAAGAAGGCAAACGGAATCGAAACCCGGGGAGAGCATGATCGCTGGCATATTGCCACACATTCTTCTTTGGGGGGTAAGCTCTCTCGTGCACTCCACTGCTTCAAGAGAGCGGTCTTAGGCTTTCGCAGAGACCTGGGTCTTGAAGTTGTCGGCGATGACCCGGAAGACGAGAGCCACGTCCGCTGCGGAAGGCCTCCAGTGGCGAGCTCACGAGGATCGGCTCTGCAGCAGGTTCGCAAACCGGTGGATTGAAGCGCACGCGTCCCTTCCGCATGAGCTCCGCTCTGCTCCAAGGAGGGCTACTGCTAGGCGCCCGGGCACGTAGTTGAAGGTCTGCAGCGCGGAAGTGGTCGAACCTACCTGCAGCACCGGACGGAGCTTCGCTCTGAGCTACGGAGATGTCGGAGCTGGCACCGGTGAAGGAAGCCTCAGAAGCTTCGCGAAGTCCGTCCCGGAGTGGCCGAAAGTCCGTGCATAGAGGGTTTAGCGCTTCTGGCGATACATGTACGAATACTGAACGAGACATAGATGTCCCGTACACGACATAAGAAAAATTATATCGGTGAGTGAGCTTAATGACGGAATCGAAAACATATGGAGTACACTGCCCTGCACATTTGTGGCTCAACATATCCATGCATTGTACGTGGAGCTTCTTTTCCGTTCACTGTAACACTGTACACTGCACTTATATTGAGAAGTACAGGGTGTCGGGTGTAGGCTTTGCAGGGGAACAAGTAGTCAGAACAGAGGCAGCTGTTTCCCATACACGGTGTAAGAAGGCAAACGGAATCGAAACTCGGGGAGAGCATGATCGCTGGCATATTGCCACACATTCTTCTTTGGGGGGTAAGCTCTCTCGTGCACTCCACTGCTTCAAGAGAGCGGTCTTAGGCTTTCGCAGAGACCTGGGTCTTGAAGTTGTCGGCGATGACCCGGAAGACGAGAGCCACGTCCGCTGCGGAAGGCCTCCAGTGGCGAGCTCACGAGGATCGGCTCTGCAGCAGGTTCGCACGGTCCCTTCCGCATGAGCTCCGCTCTGCTCCAAGGAGGGCTACTGCTAGGCGCCCGGGCACGTAGTTGAAGGTCTGCAGCGCGGAAGTGGTCGAACCTACCTGCAGCACCGGACGGAGCTTCGCTCTGAGCTACGGAGATGTCGGAGCTGGCACCGGTGAAGGAAGCCTCAGAAGCTTCGCGAAGTCCGTCCCGGAGTGGCCGAAAGTCCGTGCATAGAGGGTTTAGCGCTTCTGGCGATACATGTACGAATACTGAACGAGACATAGATGTCCCGTACACGACATAAGAAAAATTATATCGGTGAGTGAGCTTAATGACGGAATCGAAAACATATGGAGTACCTGCCCTGCACATTTGTGGCTCAACATATCCATGCATTGTACGTGGAGCTTCTTTTCCGTTCACTGTAACACTGTACACTGCACTTATATTGAGAAGTACAGGGTGTCGGGTGTAGGCTTTGCAGTGGAACAAGTAGTCAGAACAGAGGCAGCTGTTTCCCATACACGGTGTAAGAAGGCAAACGGAATCGAAACTCGGGGAGAGCATGATCGCTGGCATATTGCCACACATTCTTCTTTGGGGGGTAAGCTCTCTCGTGCACTCCACTGCTTCAAGAGAGCGGTCTTAGGCTTTAGCAGAGACCTGGGTCTTGAAGTTGTCGGCGATGACCCGGAAGACGAGAGCCACGTCCGCTGCGGAAGGCCTCCAGTGGCGAGCTCACGAGGATCGGCTCTGCAGCAGGTTTGCAAACCTTGATTGAAGCAGGTCCCTTCCGCATGAGCTCCTTTGCTCCAAGGAGGGCTACTGCTAGGCGCCCGGGCACGTAGTTGAAGGTCTGCAGCGCGGAAGTGGTCGAACCTACCTGCAGCAACCGGACGGAGCTCGCTCTGAGCTACGTAGAGTCGGAGCTTGGCAACGGTGAAGGAAGCCTCAGAAGCTTCGCGAAGTCCGTCCCGGAGTGGCCGAAAGTCGGTGCATAGAGGGTTTAGCGCTTCTGGCGATACATGTACGAATACTGAACGAGACATAGATGTCACGTACACGACATAAGACAAAATATATCGGTGAGTGAGCTTAATGACGGAATCGAAAACATATGGAGTACACTGCCCTGCACATTTGTGGCTCAACATATCCATGCATTGTACGTGGAGCTTCTTTTCCGTTCACTGTAACACTGTACACTGCACTTATATTGAGAAGTACAGGGTGTCGGGTGTAGGCTTTGCAGGGGAACAAGTAGTCAGAACACAGGCAGCTGTTTCCCATACACGGTGTAAGAAGGCAAACGGAATCGAAACTCGGGGAGAGCATGATCGCTGGCATATTGCCACACATTCTTCTTTGGGGGGTAAGCTCTCTCGTGCACTCCACTGCTTCAAGAGAGCGGTCTTAGGCTTTCGCAGAGACCTGGGGCTTGAAGTTGTCGGCGATGACCCGGAAGACGAGAGCCACGTCCGCTGCGGAAGGCCTCCAGTGGCGAGCTCACGAGGATCGGCTCTGCAGCAGGTTCGCAAACCGGTGGATTGAAGCGCACGCGTCCCTTCCGCATGAGCTCCGCTCTGCTCCAAGGAGGGCTACTGCTAGGCGCCCGGGCACGTAGTTGAAGGTCTGCAGCGCGGAAGTGGTCGAACCTACCTGCAGCACCGGACGGAGCTTCGCTCTGAGCTACGGAGATGTCGGAGCTGGCACCGGTGAAGGAAGCCTCAGAAGCTTCGCGAAGTCCGTCCCGGAGTGGCCGAAAGTCCGTGCATAGAGGGTTTAGCGCTTCTGGCGATACATGTACGAATACGGAACGAGACATAGATGTCCCGTACACGACATAAGAAAAATTATATCGGTGAGTGAGCTTAATGACGGAATCGAAAACATATGGAGTACACTGCCCTGCAGATTTGTGGCTCAACATATCCATGCATTGTACGTGGAGCTTCTTTTACGTTCACTGTAACACTGTACACTGCACTTATATTGAGAAGTACAGGGTGTCGGGTGTAGGCTTTGCAGGGGAACAAGTAGTCAGAACAGAGGCAGCTGTTTCCCATACACGGTGTAAGAAGGCAAACGGAATCGAAACTCGGGGAGAGAATGATCGCTGGCATATTGCCACACATTCTTCTTTGGGGGGTAAGCTCTCTCGTGCACTCCACTGCTTCAAGAGAGCGGTCTTAGGCTTTCGCAGAGACCTGGGTCTTGAAGTTGTCGGCGATGACCCGGAAGACGAGAGCCACGTCCGCTGCGGAAGGCCTCCAGTGGCGAGCTCACGAGGATCGGCTCTGCAGCAGGTTCGCAAACCGGTGGATTGAAGCGCACGCGTCCCTTCCGCATGAGCTCCTTTGTACTGCTAGGCGCCCGGGCACGTAGTTGAAGGTCTGCAGCGCGGAAGTGGTCGAACCTACCTGCAGCACCGGACGGAGCTTCGCTCTGAGCTACGGAGATGTCGGAGCTGGCACCGGTGAAGGAAGCCTCAGAAGCTTCGCGAAGTCCGTCCCGGAGTGGCCGAAAGTCCGTGCATAGAGGGTTTAGCGCTTCTGGCGATACATGTACGAATACTGAACGAGACATAGATGTCCCGTACACGACATAAGAAAAATTATATCGGTGAGTGAGCTTAATGACGGAATCGAAAACATATGGAGTACACTGCCCTGCAGATTTGTGGCTCAACATATCCATGCATTGTACGTGGAGCTTCTTTTCCGTTCACTGTAACACTGTACACTGCACTTATATTGAGAAGTACAGGGTGTCGGGTGTAGGCTTTGCAGGGGAACAAGTAGTCAGAACAGAGGCAGCTGTTTCCCATACACGGTGTAAGAAGGCAAACGGAATCGAAACTCGGGGAGAGCATGATCGCTGGCATATTGCCACACATTCTTCTTTGGGGGGTAAGCTCTCTCGTGCACTCCACTGCTTCAAGAGAGCGGTCTTAGGCTTTCGCAGAGACCTGGGTCTTGAAGTTGTCGGCGATGACCCGGAAGACGAGAGCCACGTCCGCTGCGGAAGGCCTCCAGTGGCGAGCTCACGAGGATCGGCTCTGCAGCAGGTTCGCAAACCGGTGGATTGAAGCGCACGCGTCCCTTCCGCATGAGCTCCGCTCTGCTCCAAGGAGGGCTACTGCTAGGCGCCCGGGCACGTAGTTGAAGGTCTGCAGCGCGGAAGTGGTCGAACCTACCTGCAGCACCGGACGGAGCTTCGCTCTGAGCTACGGAGATGTCGGAGCTGGCACCGGTGAACGAAGTCCGTCCCGGAGGGGCCGAAAGTCCGTGCATAGAGGGTTTAGCGCTTCTGGCGATACATGTACGAATACTGAACGAGACATAGATGTCCCGTACACGACATAAGAAAAATTATATCGGTGAGTGAGCTTAATGACGGAATCGAAAACATATGGAGTACACTGCCCTGCACATTTGTGGCTCAACATATCCATGCATTGTACTTGGAGCTTCTTTTCCGTTCACTGTAACACTGTACACTGCACTTATATTGAGAAGTACAGGGTGTCGGGTGTAGGCTTTGCAGGGGAACAAGTAGTCAGAACAGAGGCAGCTGTTTCCCATACACGGTGTAAGAAGGCAAACGGAATCGAAACTCGGGGGGAGCATGATCGCTGGCATATTGCCACACATTCTTCTTTGGGGGGTAAGCTCTCTCGTGCACTCCACTGCTTCAAGAGAGCGGTCTTAGGCTCGCAGGGACTGGTCTTGAAGTGTCGGCGATGAACCGGAAGACTGAGAGCCAGTCCGCTGCGGAAGGGCCTCCAGTGGCGGGGTGCTCAAGAGGATTCCGCTCGCGCAGGTTCTGCAAAACGGTGGATTGAAGCGCACGGTCCCTCCCGATGAGCTCCGCCTCTGATCAAGGAGGGTATGCTAGGCGCACGGGACGTAGTTGAAGGGTCGCAGCGCGGAAGTGGTTCGAACCTACCGCAGCATCGGACGGAAGCTTCGTCTCGAAGTAACGGGATGTCGGGAGCTGGCACCGGTAAGAAGCCTCGAAGCTTTCGCGAAGTCCGTCCCGGAGTGGCCGAAAGTCCGTGCATAGAGGGTTTAGCGCTTCTGGCGATACATGTACGAATACTGAACGAGACATAGATGTCCCGTACACGACATAAGAAAAATTATATCGGTGAGTGAGCTTAATGACAGAATCGAAAACATATGGAGTACACTGCCCTGCACATTTGTGGCTCAACATATCCATGCATTGTACGTGGAGCTTCTTTTCCGTTCACTGTAACACTGTACACTGCACTTATATTGAGAAGTACAGGGTGTCGGGTGTAGGCTTTGCAGGGGAACAAGTAGTCAGAACAGAGGCAGCTGTTTCCCATACACGGTGTAAGAAGGCAAACGGAATCGAAACTCGAGGAGAGCATGATCGCTGGCATATTGCCACACATTCTTCTTTGGGGGTGTAAGCTCTCTCGTGCACTCCACTGCTTCAAGAGAGCGGTCTTAGGCTTTCGCAGAGACCTGGGTCTTGAAGTTGTCGGCGATGACCCGGAAGACGAGAGCCACGTCCGCTGCGGAAGGCCTCCAGTGGCGAGCTCACGAGGATCGGCTCTGCAGCAGGTTTGCAACCTTAAGATTGAAGCAGGTCCCTTCCGCATGAGCTCCTTTGCTCCAAGGAGGGCTACTGCTAGGCGCCCGGGCACGTAGTTGAAGGTCTGCAGCGCGGAAGTGGTCGAACCTACCTGCAGCACCGGACGGAGCTTCGCTCTGAGCTACGGATATGTCGGAGCTGGCACCGGTGAAGGAAGCCTCAGAAGCTTCGCGAAGTCCGTCCCGGAGTGGCCGAAAGTCCGTGCATAGAGGGTTTAGCGCTTCTGGCGATACATGTACGAAGACTGAACGAGACATAGATGTCCCGTACACGACATAAGAAAAATTATATCGGTGAGTGAGCTTAATGACGGAATCGAAAACATATGGAGTACACTGCCCTGCACATTTGTGGCTCAACATATCCATGCATTGTACGTGGAGCTTCTTTTCCGTTCCCTGTAACACTGTACACTGCACTTATATTGAGAAGTACAGGGTGTCGGGTGTAGGCTTTGCAGGGGAACAAGTAGTCAGAACAGAGGCAGCTGTGTCCCATACACGTTGTAAGAAGGCAAACGGAATCGAAACCCGGGGAGAGCATGATCGCTGGCATACTGCCACACATTCTTCTTTGGGGGGTAAGCTCTCTCGTGCACTCCACTGCTTCAAGAGAGCGGTCTTAGGCTTTCGCAGAGACCTGGGTCTTGAAGTTGTCGGCGATGACCCGGAAGACGAGAGCCACGTCCGCTGCGGAATGCCTCCAGTGGCGAGCTCACGAGGATCGGCTCTGCAGCAGGTTCGCAAACCGGTGGATTGAAGCGCACGCGTCCCTTCCGCATGAGCTCCGCTCTGCTCCAAGGAGGGCTACTGATAGGCGCCCGGGCACGTAGTTGAAGGTCTGCAGCGCGGAAGTGGTCGAACCTACCTGCAGCACCGGACGGAGCTTCGCTCTGAGCTACGGAGATGTCGGAGCTGGCACCGGTGAAGGAAGCCTCAGAAGCTTCGCGAAGTCCGTCCCGGAGTGGCCGAAAGTCCGAGCATAGAGGGTTTAGCGCTTCTGGCGATACATGTACGAATACTGAACGAGACATAGATGTCCCGTACACGACATAAGACAAAATTATATCGGTGAGTGAGCTTAATGACGGAATCGAAAACATATGGAGTACACTGCCCTGCAGATTTGTGGCTCAACATATCCATGCATTGTACGTGGAGCTTCTTTTCCGTTCACTGTAACACTGTACACTGTACACTGCACTTATATTGAGAAGTACAGGGTGTCGGGTGTAGGCTTTGCAGGGGAACAAGTAGTCAGAACAGAGGCAGCTGTTTCCCATACACGGTGTAAGAAGGCAAACTGAATCGAAACTCGGGGAGAGCATGATCGCTGGCATATTGCCACACATTCTTCTTTGGGGGGTAAGCTCTCTCGTGCACTCCACTGCTTCAAGAGAGCGGTCTTAGGCTTTCGCAGAGACTGCAGCGCGGAAGTGGTCGAACCTACCTGCAGCACCGGACGGAGCTTCGCTCTGAGCTACGGAGATGTCGGAGCTGGCACCGGTGAAGGAAGCCTCAGAAGCTTCGCGAAGTCCGTCCCGGAGTGGCCGAAAGTCCGTGCATAGAGGGTTTAGCGCTTCTGACGATACATGTACGAATACTGAACGAGACATAGATGTCCCGTACACGACATAAGAAAAATTATATCGGTGAGTGAGCTTAATGACGGAATCGAAAACATATGGAGTACACTGCCCTGCAGATTTGTGGCGCAACATATCCATGCATTGTACGTGGAGCTTCTTTTCCGTTCACTGTAACACTGTACACTGCACTTATATTGAGAAGTACAGGGTGTCGGGTGTAGGCTTTGCAGGGGAACAAGTAGTGAGAACAGAGGCAGCTTTTTTTCTATACACGGTGTAAGAAGGCAAACGGAATCGAAACTCGGGGAGAGCATGATCGCTGGCATATTGCCACACATTCTTCTTTGGGGGGGTAAGCTCTCTCGTGCACTCCACTGCTTCAAGAGAGCGGTCTTAGGCTTTCGCAGAGACCTGGGTCTTGAAGTTGTCGGCGATGACCCGGAAGACGAGAGCCACGTCCGCTGCGGAAGGCCTCCAGTGGCGAGCTCACGAGGATCGGCTCTGCAGCAGGTTTGCAAACCTTGATTGAAGCAGGTCCCTTCCGCATGAGCTCCTTTGCTCCAAGGAGGGCTACTGCTAGGCGCCCGGGCACGTAGTTGAAGGTCTGCAGCGCGGAAGTGGGCGAACCTACCTGCAGCACCGGACGGAGCTTCGCTCTGAGCTACGGAGATGTCGGAGCTGGCACCGGTGAACGAAGTCCGTCCCGGAGTGGCCGAAAGTCCGTGCACAGAGGGTTTAGCGCTTCTGGCGATACATGTACGAATACTGAACGAGACATAGATGTCCCGTACACGACATAAGAAAAATTATATCGCTGAGTGAGCTTAATGACGGAATCGAAAACATATGGAGTACACTGCCCTGCACATTTGTGGCTCAACATATCCATGCATTGTACGTGGAGCTTCTTTTTTCCGTTTAACTGTAAGCCAGTTACACTGCACTATATGAGAAGTACAGGATGGTCGGGTGGGTAGGCTTGTGCAGGGGAACAAGGTCAGAATAAGAGGCGCTGTTCCCAACACGGGTAAGAATGCGCAACACAGGATCGAGAACCCGGGAGGAGCTGATCGCTGTGCATATTTGCCCACCATTCTTCTTGTGGGGGGTAAGATCTCTCGTGCACTTCCACTGCTTCAAGGAGCGGTCTGTGGGCACTTTCGCAGAGACCTGGGTCTTGAAGTTGTCGGCGATGACCCGGAAGACGAGAGCCACGTCCGCTGCGGAAGGCCTCCAGTGGCGAGCTCACGAGGATCGGCTCTGCAGCAGGTTCGCAAACCGGTGGATTGCAGCGCACGCGTCCCTTCCGCATGAGCTCCGCTCTGCTCCAAGGAGGGCTACTGCTAGGCGCCCGGGCACGTAGTTGAAGGTCTGCAGCGCGGAAGTGGTCGAACCTACCTGCAGCACCGGACGGAGCTTCGCTCTGAGCTACGGAGATGTCGGAGCTGGCACCGGTGAAGGAAGCCTCAGAAGCTTCGCGAAGTCCGTCCCGGAGTGGCCGAACGTCCGTGCATAGAGGGTTTAGCGCTTCTGGCGATACATGTACGAATACTGAACGAGACATAGATGTCCCGTACACGACATAAGAAAAATTATATCGGTGAGTGAGCTTAATGACGGAATCGAAAACATATGGAGTACACTGCCCTTCAGATTTGTGGCTCAACATATCCATGCATTGTACGTGGAGCTTCTTTTCCGTTCACTGTAACACTGTACACTGCACTTATATTGAGAAGTACAGGGTGTCGGGTGTAGGCTTTGCAGGGGAACAAGTAGTCAGAACAGAGGCAGCTGTTTCCCATACACGGTGTAAGAAGGCAAACGGAATCGAAACTCGGGTAGAGCATGATCGCTGGCATATTGCCACACATTCTTCTTTGGGGGGTAAGCTCTCTCGTGCACTCCACTGCTTCAAGAGAGCGGTCTTAGGCTTTCGCAGAGACCTGGGTCTTGAAGTTGTCGGCGATGACCCGGAAGACGAGAGCCACGGCCGCTGCGGAAGGCCTCCAGTGGCGAGCTCACGAGGATCGGCTCTGCAGCAGGTTCGCAAACCGGTGGATTGAAGCGCACGCGTCCCTTCCGCATGAGCTCCGCTCTGCTCCAAGGAGGGCTACTGCTAGGCGCCCGGGCACGTAGTTGAGGGTCTGCAGCGCGGAAGTGGTCGAACCTACCTGCAGCACCGGACGGAGCTTCGCTCTGAGCTACGGAGATGTCGGAGCTGGCACCGGTGAAGGAAGCCTCAGAAGCTTCGCGAAGTCCGTCCCGGAGTGGCCGAAAGTCCGTGCATAGAGGGTTTAGCGCTTCTGGCGATACATGTACGAATACTCAACGAGACATAGATGTCCCGTACACGACATAAGAAAAATTATATCGGTGAGTGAGCTTAATGACGGAATCGAAAACATATGGAGTACACTGCCCTGCAGATTTGTGGCTCAACATATCCATGCATTGTACGTGGAGCTTCTTTTCCGTTCACTGTAACACTGTACACTGCAATTATATTGAGAAGTACAGGGTGTCGGGTGTAGGCTTTGCAGGGGAACAAGTAGTCAGAACAGAGGCAGCTGTTTCCCATACACGGTGTAAGAAGGCAAACGGAATCGAAACTCGGGGAGAGCATGATCGCTGGCATATCGCCACACATTCTTCTTTGGGGGGTAAGCTCTCTCGTGCACTCCACTGCTTCAAGAGTAGAGGGTTTAGCGCTTC